ATAATGGCCAGCTTTGGATGTATCCAGCAGTTAATATACTTCTCTCCCTACCCCTTCCATAAACTTTGCATTAAAAAATTACTACCAAATAAACATATCTTTCACACACACACCCAGAACAGAAGGGGTGTCATCTCAGAAGGTAGCCAAAGTAGTAATAGTAACATTACTGATGAAGATGACAAAGTAATAATAACAAAGAGAGGAACTATTTGAGCATTTACCATTTCTAGGCATGTTCAAAATATTTTTACATCCCCTGGTTCCTTTAATCCTCATAAAAATCCTGTGAGGTAGACATTACACTATCCCAATTTCAAAAATGAGGAAACAGGTCAGAGATTAAGCAACTTGCCCCAAATCACCGAACTAATTAGTGTCAAAAGTAAGATCTGAATATTTGAGCATGTTACCCTTAGAGATCATGTTTTTAACCACTGTATTATATGTGTAATTAAATAATTTGGTAAACTCTCAAACACAGGGTGCTTACTCAAATTCATTTTTAAAACAAGAGTAGTTTAGAGACAAAAAAAGAAGACCCACTTGCCTTTTATTATGTTCTTCATATGTTCTTTTTAATATGTTCTTCAACCAGGCTAAAACTGAACACATTTATGGAGAACAAATTTAAGATGTATTTCGCTCTGCTTTTATCACTTTGAAATCATTCTCTTAATTGAATACTACAAACAGTGGTAACAGCATGCAACTTCAACAGACTAATAAAACTTTATTTTAAAATCTTCAGGTAAAATAAACACACTGTCCATGTTTATCACTAAGTAAACTAGGGTAAAATAACTGCAAAAGTTCCAATACCCTTGAAAAGTTTCAAAACAGCAGCAAGATATAGTGGGAACAAGATAATCCTTTTATGACAAAGAAAAACTGTTCTTTCCACAACACTGTAACATCTGCTTTAATGACAAACATGATCCTGGGATGGACTAAATTTCGATTGTTATTTCAAAACATGAGCCTAAATTCAGAATTTCTTCAGAACTACAATCTAAAAAGGCTATCAGTTTATCTCCCAGAAGAGCCATCTGGTCCACATAACATCAAAATTTTGGAGAGCTAAAGGTATGCTCCCTATCATCCCACTGAATAATTAACAACGAGCACACAACCCCCAACGACTTCTGGAGCACAAGCTGATTTTTTAAATCATCTATTTGAGCTTCAGAACTTGCCTTCCCAGGAAACAGAGGTCTATATGCCAGGTTTCTGAGCCAGCTCGCAAAAACTTAAACATCCGTTAGGTTACAGAAGTATAATAAAATACCCAACCTGCATGAACAATGTTTCTATAGGAAAACCCATTTAGCATTCAACTTAGAAGAAAAGCAACTACCCCTGCCCCACTCAGCCCTGGAAATAGAAAAGAATTCTTCCCTAACTGGGAGTCTGAGCTCCCCAGGACCACAGGCCCAGGATTCCATGATTAAGGCATGAAAGAGGGCAGTTTGCAGTACATTAGGCTTCAGAGTTAGAAGGACAAAAAGGCAGAACTTCGGAGGGAGGACAGCCTAGGGTAAGGAAAGCAAGACCTACTTGGGAGAGAAGGATGAAGGGCGAGGAGGCTTACAGAAGAGGAGGGAACAAGGCCTGCTCCTGCAGCAGATGGACTTTTGCAAAGTTTCCTCCTTAACACTTAGGAGAGGGAAGGAAACGAAAAAGAGAAACTGTGGCAAGGGTCTTGATACTTCCTCACTCTGGCTACTCTCCTTTTCAAGAAAGAAGAGTGGGTTAAGGGGTCTTGCCCGGGTCCCTCTCTAACTGAAGCACAGGGATTCGGAGAAGGAGCGTGGACTTAGAGGAGTTTCGTTGCTCCCCTTATCAGCTTCCACTCTGCCGAAGACTTTAGTGTTGTCAACTGAGAAGGGAAGGGTCCAGGTACCAGCAGGAACAGTGTCCGAAAGAGAGGAACGAAGGTAAGGAGAAATTTGAAGAAGGGAAGGGGGATGTTGGAGGGTAGAACTAATAATAGAGCTGCCAATGAATTAAACTATAATAAATGTTCTTAAATATCTAGGATTAATTCATTTTCGCGGTTCCAAATATATTTCATCAGGTCCATTTCACTTTAGACAAATAATTGTGGCCACAGTAATAAATTGAGGTTTATTATGCGGAAGGCATAAAAATAAGCTGCTAAATACATGAGACAATTTCCTGGTGTCTTTTCTTTATATAGAGGCAACATAAATCATTTCAGAAGGCTTTTTTATGTACTTGATGAGTACTTAGTTACATTATCATTTGTCGATTTTTTTGCCCCAATAACCCAAATACCATGAGTAAATTACCTTCACAAATAAGGAAGTATATTTAACCAAGGAAGTATATTTAATTCTTGGGAGTTAACTATAATGAAAGACTCTGAGATATCATTTCAAGCAAAGCTCCAAACTCCAAACTCCATCTCTCTCTCATCCTGAGGAGTGCAGGACTTCTTTTTCCTCTGCTTTTAATGCCCATGTTTCTGTGAGACATGGCTACTTAACTGAAGGCCCCCAATTTACTTCTTAAAAGATGGAGCGGCAAATCCCAAGTTCCAGGAATACTTCGACAGGTAAACCTCACCAAAGAACCTGCTGAAGAATGAGTGCCAGCACAGCACCTAGCATCCTTTCTCCCTACCCCGCTTTCTTGAATTTCAGCTGCTCCTCTTCCAGTTGAACTCTCTTGAGCAGAGAGAATGGCCAGGATGGCAAGTTCACAGCATATCGCAGATGCAAGAGCAGGGACAGTGGGGGATAAAGGTGACCAATGGCCATGCACTGGGAAGATGTTCCTGTTGTTTCATCGAATTCTAAGATATTGCCTGGGAACCTAGAAGGTCTTTCACTTCCTAGCCCCACAGAAGATTATGTTGGATCCCAAACTAGCTACCGTATTTTCTGCAAACCACAAACTGCATCCAAAACTTCTGTACTGCGTTGAAAAAGAAACAGCGTCTGTTATCAAGTAGTCCACTTGCTGGAGAAGGTAGGTGGGTGGCTGAGTAGGTGGGTGGATGTGGGTGTGTGTATACCTCTAAGCTATGATAAAGCAAATTCAAATCCCTATAAATAGTTGGTATTTTACTTTAGTAATGTAATTTGAAAAAGTACTCAAGACCAGAATAAACAAAATATTTGGTCTTTGAAGTATCTTGGGCATGCTGAAACTGGAGGCAAAGTTAATGAAAACATCTGAATTTCAGATAGTTCACTACTAAGAATCTTTACCAATCAGCAGACCTGCGAAAATGTTACCTCTGGCTAGAAAATGAAGACATTTGGGGGGAAAAACAAAACAAAACAAAAAAACTTGAGGTTATCTTCAGCCAAGAACACTGAAAGCTTTTAAGATTAACAACAGAATTGAAAAGTTTCTTTGTGACAAAAATTTCCATTTTCACAAAATTTGTGTCTGTCAGCACATACACTTATGCAGAGCATAGTAGAAAAGGCACACATTCTAGAATCAGACCCACATGAGTTTGAGTTCTAACTATATGACCTCAGGAAAGTTACTGAGGAGTACTGGAGGTTTCGTTTCTGTGCAACATGGATGTTATCTTGAGCACAGGGTGGCTATGAGGATTAAATGCAAACATACATAATTCACCAAGTCCAGTGCTTGAACGTACTCAATGTTAGCTCCCTTTGTTCCAACACAAACTACAGAGCGTGGTATCTGTAATTGAGAAGACTGTGTCAAATAAACACGTGGAAGAGAATTCAGAATGATACAACATAGACTATGTTCTGTGAAATGTAAATATTAAAATCCCATTTAATATTTAACTTCACGAAAGTCTTTCCCTTGAGTAAACCAGTTGTAGGAAAATGGGGGGGGGCGTTTAAAGTTGAAAAACTTCATTATTACACAGACTTAAAATTATGTATGTGTGTATGCTTGCATTCTCCCATCGTTCATAAAAAGACACCATCACAAAACTACCATGAGTGATGCCCTTTCAATTTTAATACTATGAAAAATTAAACTCTCATTTCAAAATCCCTTTCTTGATCTAAATATTCTTAAAAATGTTCCTGTATACCAATGCAAAACATTTGCAAAGCCAAGGAAAAAAAAAAAGTAAATCCCCTTAGGCTTCCAAACTAAAAAAGTGTGCAAAAAAGGCTAAGTTTCTAAAATTGTTCTTTCCCATTCATTCTTGTTCTTTTACAAACCAGAAGTAAATACACTACATGCTAAAAATGATTGTCTGATTGACAAATGTCACTGAAATGGACAAGCACTGTCTGGACCAAAGGTGACAAGTTTTCTTAAGCAATTTTTAAAAATTACGTTTCAGTAAAAAACTGCTTTTCATCAACAGTATAAACTTTTCACATTATATGCAGGTTAGTTTACAGCCCACCTTGTCCCCCACCCACCCCCCAAAATCCTGCTTTTATACGCTTGAATGGGCTGGCACACCGTACTAAACTATAGAACTCCACTGGTAATAACTTATCTGTTTGGTGCACCTCAGAGGACTGCTTGTGTTATCTTTAAATGAACGCAGACAACGTTTTCTCCTTACTCCACACTTGCCAACGATTATTTGCAAACCTCTTTTTTAAAACAATTACTAACCTTCCTCGCGTTTCTCAACACACCCTCAACCACCCCAACCTCGGCGCTGCTAGTTCTCATCCCCAAACGCCTTGCTCGGGCTTCAAGCCCGCCCACAGAGGTTCACTCTTGTCAAAGTCCAGGGTCCGGCGAGAAAGGGCATCATCTCCTTAGTTCGAGGGGCTAAGGCCAACACAGGCCCCCGGCCACTCCCTCTCTCCTCCGCCTCCCGGGGCGTCCCAGGCGGGCGCACCAGGCCGTGAGCAGACCTCCGGCAGCCCCTGAGCCTCAGGCCGAGCCGAAACCCCGAGATACCCGCGGTCGCACACGCCCACCACCCGGGCGCTGGGTCACCGGGACGACCCCGGGGCCACCCCCGACGCCCCGGTCCGGGCAGGTGCCGGGGCCTCCTCGCGGACACTCACCGGCAGCCGCTGCTCCCCGTCCGCCGCTGCCGCTGCCTCGCCCTCACTCCCGCCGCCTGTTCCCGCGGGGGGTCCGGGCCGGCGCAGCTTCTCCGCCCGACCCCCCCTCGGGTGCACGCCGCGCGAGGCCCGGATACGGTGAGAGCCGCCGCCGCCCCCTTTCCTCCCTCCTCCCTCAGCGCGTCCCTCCCACCGAGGCCCGCCTCGTATTTCCCGGATCCGGTCTCAGCGACAGTTTGGCAGGCGTATCGCGGGCTTCAGGGCTCCCGTCGGGTGCAGACATTCGCCAGGCACAAAGATGGCACTGTCGGGGACTGCCGAAAGTAATCTCGCGAGGTTTCCCCGACAGCTACCGGAGGGCGGGGGCCCACAGGAAAGGTGGTCAATTAGAGTAGTCGGAGCCGGCTTCTGAGAAAGCTCCCCCTTCTCCGCAAGGGGTAGCGCCAGTGCCAGCGAAAGTTACTGCGCCTGCGCTAGGGCAGTCGGGCGCGCGATGACGCATGCCCAGAACAGCCCCCGAAATAGCACCCAAATGCTCCGCTTTTTACCTGTTTCCTCTAGAACCGTGGAGCAAAGGAGGGAGCGGAGGAACCAGGAGTGAAACTCGGAAAAGGGCTGGGCCGGACCCGGCAGCGAAGTGAGAGGCGTCCATTAAGGCTGGGTTATCCCTCTAAAGCCCAAAGGGCCAACACACTTTGGGATGCCCGGGAGTCCTCTAGCCTTTCCCTTCTTACCCTCCCTGTCACCGAGTATTCTTTGCAAAGTCTCAGCTGCCCCGTCATCCTGTTGTCGACTTGCTTTATTGATTGAGAGCTTGCTGTGTGCTCGGAGCTGGGCTCGCAGCTGGCAGCCCCAGCCCTCCTGTTTCTCATATCATTTAACTTTCTCTTTCATTTTGAAGCTATGTGAGCCTCCCAAATCTCATACTATCAACTGCTTCTGTTCCTGTTTTAGTTTTCTTCCTTCATTCATTTATTCATTCAAACGTGTGTAGTTCAGTTTCCTATGTGCCAGGTGATGAGAAGACATGTGCTCTGACCTCAGAGAGCTATTGGTCTGAGATGGAGATGGATGAGGAAAAAAACCCCCCAAAACAAAAAAAAAAAACAATGATGACAGTTCAGCACAGTAAATTCTGTGATAAAAATGAGTCAGATACTGAGGGGCGGGGTGTCATGAAATAGATCAAAGACAATTTTTGAGAGTTTCCCAGGCATATAATGCAGAGATAGCATGCACAGAAAGCAGCTACTATATCTAGAGCTCTGGGAATCAAGGGAAGAGGTTGGGATTATTACAATTTAGATATTTAGAGGAGGGGACTTGTGCAGCTGAAACTCAGATCTATGAGGAGGGAGCAGCATCTGCTGGTGCTGGTGTCTCTGATGGGGGCTTCAAGATGCTGTGTCTGCAGGTGTGGGCAAAACTGCAAACTGGCTCCAACTGCTGCTGTGGGAAGGAACTGCCACTGTCCTGAGAGCTTCTAATCTCCCTCCAGCCTGGTGATAAGAATGAGATGTGTAGAGCAGAGCTGAACTTGACCCACATCCTGAAACAGAGCAGCTCCCGATGTTGAGAGCCACTCATTTTGAAAGTTGGATGTGATCAGAAAGAGGGCCATTCACTCCTGTTGCACATCCCACGTAGTGGTATCCATCATGTTAAAACATTTGTAGAAAACCTGCTTCAAGTCCAGGGTTTCATAGCAAACAGCTGCCCCAACCAACTCACAAACCCATGAGTGAAAAATAAATGTGCGCGGTAATATGGCACTGAGACTTATGGTTATTACATGGCAAAAGTACATTAATACAGCAGCTCTGTTCCACAGAGTGAGCATGATTTAGTCTCCTGCCTTCTTGCTCCACCATCCTTAAGAGTGTTGTCCTGGTATATTTGGTCCAGAATGGTTCAGTACCACGTCACATTCCAGTCATCAGCAGGAGGAAGGCCTATCCATTTCTTTTAAGGGCACGACCCAGAAGTTGTTAATATCACTTGTATTCACAACCCTTTGGCAAGAACTTAATCATGTTACTGCATTTACCTGCATGGGAGACTGGGAAATGTGGTCTTATCCTAAGCAGTCTTGTACCTAGCTAAAAATTCTATGACTTTAGAAAAAAAGGTTGGGGGACAACCAGCAACCCCATAAAATAATCAAAACTCAGAACTTGTTTTAAAGTTATACCTTGTCCTCTCTCATCAATGAAGAGATTAAAAGAAGCAAGTACAGTCCTGCTCTTTCTATTCCTTAGTCTTCTACTTTTCCTCCCCTATTTTGCTAACGAGTTTCTTCTCTAGGGATGAAGAGGGTGAGAATGGAGGTGGGCAAGTTATTGCTTTACAGGTACAGTCATAAGATGGCTTTGTCCCCTCTGCACTTGGCAGATGCCTAAAATTGGCTCTTTCTCTTTGGGTTTCATTGGGGTTCTTCTTAGGCTCCCACTGGGAAGATTTGAAAGCACATCTGAGGACACAGATGATGCTCTTTCCTCTGTCTGGACTCTCTTTCCTCAGCCCCTGGTCTCTTTTACTTTTTTCTTTTTTTTTTAATTGGGGAACTGTGAAGTCAAGTAGTTGTTTCAATCTAGTTGTGGCGGGTACATATCAGTGGCCCGTGTGGGGATCGAACCGGCAACCTTGGTGTTATGAGCACTGTGCTCTAACCACCTGAGCTAACCGGCCGCCCCGCTTTTACTTTTTTTTTTTTTTTTTTTAGCTGAGCCATCCTGCTACCTGTTGGCAGCTCAACGGCTGCTCAGCTCGGGCTGGACTCGAACCGCTGTTGCTCAGAGCNGGCTGCTCAGCTCGGGCTGGACTCGAACCGCTGTTGCTCAGAGCTCAAACTCTTGAGCGAGCTCTTAACCAACTGAGCCACTCGGCCGGCCCTTCCCTCTTTTACTTTTTGATGCTGCTATAAGTCCTCTGTTGGTTGTCAATGCCTTCTGTGTGACTGGCACCCAAATGCTGGCTCTCTCATAGGCTGAGTGTGATTCTTCAGCACCCTCCTCAAAGCACAATTCTTTGCTACGGACTCAACCTTTTCTAACTTCTTCTCAGGTCCTGCCCCTTGTGGAATACCCACAACTGCTTACCACCAGGGTCCCCTCACCCACCGGCAGGACACAAGCAAGAGGCTCAGTGAAGCTTGTTTGCTTTCTGTGACATTCACTTGATCCATGGGAAACTCACATGTCCTTGCTATGCTGAACAACAGACATACTGCCCTGTCTTGCTGCTCCAACAAGCTTCCGGTCTTCAGAATTCTTCTGGCAAGAGGCAGGCAGCAGTGTCTCTGCTGACTCCGGTCTCCAAACTCCAAGGATATGTGGTCAGCTCTCCCTAACAGTCTCTGCCTGGGACGGACCAAGTTCAGTGACCAAGCAGCTGGAAGGTGACACATCTTGACACCCCTCACTCAGCGCTCCGAAGCCCCATCGCTTGGCTTCGCCTTCCCTAATGGGAGAGAACATCTACAACACTCCCTCAAAGGTGGTAAATCATAAAAATCTCCCTTCTAGTCTTCTCTTATTCAGGCTGGGGAGGTGTTTGGGTGATAGTCATAGAACCGGTTTTGCTGCCTTTTGGTGAGCCTTTAGGGAAGGGCCTAGAAGCTCTCTTTAGAATGTGATAGAATTTAGTGTGTATTTTTTTCAGCTGTATCGTATACACCTTCTGTACCATTTCAGATATTTTTGGCCTCATTTATTGTGTCAATCACATAGCATTATGTAACAAACGACTCTTAAGACATAATAGTCTAAAATTATAACCATTTTATTTCATTGTACAGCAGGTCAGCAATTTGGGTTGGGCTCAGCTGGGCAGCCCTTCTTCTGGTCTCACCCAGGGTCACTCCTGGTGACAAGAATAGAGGCTCCTCATGAGAGCACCAAGGGCCTCCTCTTACCAAGTCGCCCCAACTCGACAGGGTATGGTCCAAAAGCTAAGAAGTTAGCTGAGCCTTTAGTGGGCCATTTCATTAGGCTGTCTGCTATATAATGAGGTATGTGATGAGACCAGTGGTTCTCATGGTTACGTGCAACTCCTTTGCAGTAACATGGGCCCTTTGGTTTTAGGCAATAATCTATGAGATACCACATGAATACATGACCATTTTGTAAACTCTTGAATGGTGGTGTCCCTGGGGGAACTGTGGATTGGAAAGGCAAACTCATAGTGAGAGTATGAATCACTTCTGAAAAGAATGAATTGCTGCCCCACAGTCACACACACCCCATGTAGGAGGCATCCAAAGTAATCAATTTGCCCAAGTGGCTGCTGGTTTCCTTGAGAAGTTATGCCGTACTGTGGCTGTGTCGGTTTCTGCAAGTGGTAGGTTGGGCCAATAGTAGCTGAACTGAGCTTTGGTGAGAGGGAGCACTTGTTGGGCCTGAAGGGTGAGCCTGGGTTCCATTGACAGGATCCCTTCCTCTCCCTTCTTGTGGAGCAAGTCTACGAGGAGCCTTGTCAGTGATGGACTACTCGGGCTGCTTAGTGCTAGGCAATCTTGATGTAGGGCGCCAGCTGTTTATAGTTTGGTGTCATGGGCTTGCAGCATGCGTGACGCCATTTTGAGCCTGTAGTCTTCTCTTTAACAATACCTTTAGTGTTCTAGGATCTATGGATCTGGAGAAAGTGTTTGGGAGAGTGGGGATTGGGAAAAGTTATGGGAAGGAGACATTTGTCTGGGGAGATTGTCCCCAAAGAGGTCATGTGTAAACTCATAATAATTGAACATAATTTTACTCATTTTCATTATAAGTGAAATAATAAACATTCAAAATTGAAGTTCATCACTATTTCAGTTTTACCAAGGAGAAATTATGTAGAGAGTTAAAAAAAAAAACTTTTCCTTTTGGTACCTAAAAAGATCATTTGTTTACTTTTAAATCTCATGCTCCCAATCGGAGAGTAGTGACGTCACAAAAATTCTTTCTAGGGCCGGCCGAGTGGCGCAATGGTTAAGGACTGGCTTGGGACGCCAGAGGGCCCCGGTTCAGATCCCACATATGAGGGCCAGTGACACTGCCCTCTACAGCTACAATGCTGAACAACAGCTCAACTTGGAGCTGGGCTGCCGTGAGTCGCCAGCGACGGCTAGGCTGCAGCCTCTGTGACAGTGGGTTGCCATGGGCTACCGTGTGTAGCCAGCAGCCAGCGTGAGTGGGAAGCAGCAGCAGTGAGCAGCCATCCAGAAGCCGGTGACTGATCTGCCTCACCCGGGAAGAGCGCAATGATGGTGCCAACTTGGGCCAGTGAAGCAACGTCCTCCACAACTAGACTGAAGAACAAAAGGACAGCAACTTGTCTATTCCCCTTCCCCAATTCCCCAGCGCTGTTCCTATCCCCCAATTCCCCAATTAAAAAAAAAAAAAAAGGAATTCTTTCGTGCCGGCC